TCCTTCCTATGTGCCTAGAAAGTAAAGTTACCAATGTAAAAGCACATGAGCATGTGTGTGTGCTCAGCTGTGTCCCAACTCTTGGCGACCCCATGCACTGTATCCCACCAGGCTCCTCTGTCCACAGGATTTTCGAGACAAGAATACTGGAGTGGGTTGCCATTTCCTCCTCCAGGGGATCCTCCCCGCCCAGGGATCGAACCCATGTCTCCTGAGTCTTCTGCACTGGCAGGCTGATGCCTTACTACTGAGTCACCTGGGAAGTCTATGTAAAAGCACGTTATGGCCCAAATAAAGGCCCCCTTATAACTGATTGTCTACCCAGACCAAATGCCATTTGAGAGAGGAAAGGACCGAGTATCCTGGGGTTCTCTGTGTCTGCACATCATGAAATAAACGGAAGCAGCACTGAGACAGCTGTCTGTCCACTGTCCCCAGAGAAACCCATCGGGCTGATGCTTTTTAAGATTTATTCACTTACATGTAACTATCATATCTGGACAAGGTCAAAGAAAGAAGAGGTAAGGCTGGAGTTCTTAACGTGGCCTCAGAATGGAGTCATTGACTCGAAGAACAAGAGGTGTAGTAACACGTACAAATGGCTGGTGATGAGGTTAGGAGTGACTTGACAAGCACGTTGGTAGACGGCCCAGAGATGCCGTGTAGCCAGCGGTGTGTGGCCCTGACATGGCCCAGACTGTAGTCAACTAGTTAGGAGTTTTACGTGTCTTTGTTACTCAAGTTGAAAATTATCATGTCTAATGAGCCAGTATCTTTAACTCCCAGATTCACTCTGTAGTGTAGTTTCTTTTAAATTCGTCACACTAAGTATATTAAAGTTGCTCTGTACAGCATATGGCATGATACTTGAGGGATATACATACTGAGAGGTTTTCTAATGGAGAAGAAATTAATGATACGGTCAGACATAACATAAAAGTAAACAAGTTTTTGTCACTCTCTATTTCTCATCTTCCCACTCTGACTCTGCAGTTAAGACACTCAAAACCTATTCACTGTGACCATCTATCCACCCACCCACCCACATATACATTCATCCAACAAACTCCTGGGCACATTCCTCCTGCCTGGTAGTGTACTATGCTTTTGGAACTTAATTTCTAGTGAGAAAAGATAGGAAATCAGCAAGCCCGTTGCTGTTGTTGTTCGGTCACACAGCCGTGTCCAATTCTTTGTGACCCTATGAACTGCAGCACGTCAGGCCTCCCTGTCCCCCACCATCAACAAGCTAGAAAATAAACAACTATGACAGTTGTGCTAAGAAAGGAAAAAATTAAAACCTGAAAATAGTTTCAGGGAAATCTATTCACGATCCTAAAAGAAAAACAGAATTCCATTCAGATGATTAACAGAAGAAATACTAAAGAAGAGATAACTTACAGAGTTATAGGCAGCATTGAAAGAAGCAATAAGGGATGTTGAGGCTGCCAGAGACTGGTCACAGCAGAAAGCTCTCATCAAGGACCAAGGAGAGGAAATGGTGTTGTCATAGTTCAGTGAGAGCTGGAGCCATGGCGAAAACGTTATCTGGCAGGACCTCTCGTTATGGAGGGAGGCACCCAAGGTCAGAACTCTGATCCAAAGCAGAGAGGAAGGAGATAAGAGCCCAATCTCTCTTTCTCCTTTTACCCTCCAACTTCCTGCTAGCGCTTCCTATTGGCAGAACCTGATGATAAGTCACCTGGCATAGGAGTTTGGGTGACACATCCATAAAATTTGGCTCCAGTGTTGAGAACAGATTGAGAAGGTGGAGGAGGAAGATGAATAATAACCGAGGAAGGGAACCTACTTAGGTAGATAAGTCAGGAAAAGCTTCCCTGTGGAAGTGACATTTGAACCGATACCAAGAGAAGAGGCTGGCCATGCAAAGAGCCAGTAGAAGAATGAGCCAGCAGAAGGGTAAGTGAGCACATGTCTTTGCTCTTCTCCTTGTTCTGCATCCCACACTCAGGACAGATCCTTCACTAGGAACGCAGACTCAGACAATCCAAATGAACATCTTCCTACATGTGTTGCTATTACTCTAGTCCTGGGAAAACTGAATGCCTCTCATCTATGTTCTCAAGACCACAGAAGACTTTGCTCATAAAAAAAGAGAATGCTCACACTAGGATATTTCCCTATGAGAGGGCCAGCACTTTTACTCATTCTTGTGTACAAAGAACGAAGAATCAAGGATGACATATGTAAAAACATTAAAGAAGGCAACTAAAGTAACTATCCCATTTATCCAATTTCTCTTTGAAAAGCTCAAGTCTTCCACATTTTGACATATCCTCATATCATGCAACATATGCAAAAATGTCCTATTATGCCCATCAGTCTCTTAAATGAAAAAATATTGCAAAGATCCAATTATTATATAATATAACAATAATTGCTTTGGCTTCATCCCTTCATTCTTTCTGGAGTTAATTCTCCTCAGATATCCAGTAGCATATTGGGCACTTACTGACCTGGGGAGTTCATCTTTCAGTGTCCTATCTTTTTGTCTTTTCATACTCTTCATGGGGTTCTCAAGGCAAGAATACTGAAGTGGCTTGCCATTCCCTTCTCCAGGGGACCACATTCTGTCGGACCTCTCCACCATGACCCATCCATCTTGGGTGGCCCCACATGGCATGGCTTAGTTCATTGAGTTAGACAAGTTATGGTCCGTGTTTTCAGATTGGCTAGTTGTCTGTGATTGTGGTTTTAGTCTGTCTGTCCTTGATGCCCTTTCTCAGCGCCTACCACCTTACTTGGGTTTCTCTTACCTCGGACGTGGTGTATCTCTTCATAGCTGCGGCAGCAAAGCACATCTGCTGCTCCTTAAAATGTTCCTAGTCCCTTTCAATTTGGGAAGCTTATTTTTATTATACTAGTTGCTTAGCAAAAAAAAATTTGGTCACAAATTTAATTTCTTTTTTAATTAAAACATATTTAAAACACCAGATACTCTTCTGAGTATAGCCCTGGTTTGAGTTCCTGCTGACTATTACCCACTCCAGTACTCTTGCCTGGAGAATTCCATGGTCAGAGGAGCCCAGCAGGCTACAGTCCATGGGGTATTAAAGAGCTGGACACGACTGAGAGACTTTCACTTTCACCTTTACTGTGTGGTCACTTGAGGCTGGCCTTTACACCTCAGTGTTCGGTTGCTTTGCTGCTCTTTGATGCCTTAATGTATATAAAATTTTAAAATGTATCTGCTTTTCCCCTTTGTTTTTATGGGAGTATCAGCCTGTATATCTGGTTCTCCCCTGGGTATCTACAGTCAGTCCTAGTTATTTTACAAGTTAGAATGCCAAGTAGGTGACAGAAAGTGCAGACGATGAACACTGATTTAATTGGCCATCTTCTCTGACTCCCCTCCATTTTATTACTAAATCTTGTCAAATGCCAAATTATACTTTTTATTTCTGAATGTTTATGTTTGAAATTATACAGACACATTTATATTTAATTCAATTCACAATTTTGATATTTTCCCAAGTTAGTTTGAGTGAATGCTACTTAGAAAATCCTGGTTATAAAAACTTTCATTTTGCCACTAGCTCATATGGAGTGTTCTTATAGAGCTGTAAATGAACTCAGTATTCATTATGCAAATGAAGAAACCCAGACACAATTAAAAGGTTTCAGCTTTGTGGTATCATTTCAGGATCTAATTTTGAGGTTTTGGTCCTCTTGTCTAAGATAACTGTGGGCATCACATTAAGCTGCTCTTGATCAATAAATAAAACATTTCAAACAGAAATTGCACTGAAAGGGTTTTGACCTAAAGCCAGGAAGGGTGACAACAGATGACACTAGGAATTGATAGTAACTTCATCTAACACTGCTCCATGCCTGAGGGCAACTTGAACAGTCCATTTCATGTTACTTGGTTCTGTGATCAACTCTCAGCCTTCCATTTTTTTAAGGATCAATCATCTGTTCTTACCAGCTTCTTCCTGATAAACTAGGAGATATACATTCTTGTCTATTTAAATTTTTGAGAAATGGGTCANAGAATTGATGCTTTTGAACTGGGTGTTGGAGAAGACTCTTGAGAGTCCCTTGGACGGCAAGGAGATCCAACCAGTTCATCCTAAAGGAGATCAGTGCTGGGTGTTCATTGGAAGGACTGATGTTGAAGCTGAAACTGCAATACTTTGGCCTCCTGATGCGAAGAGCTGACTCATTGGAAAAGACCCTGATGCTGGGAGGGATTAGGGGCAGAAGGAGAAGGGGACGACAGAGGATGAGATGGTTGGATGGCATCATCAACTTGATGGACATGGGTTTGGGTGGATCCGGGAGTTGGTGATGGACAGGGAGGCCTGGTGTGCTGTGGTTCATGGGGTCGCAAAGAGTTGGACATGACTGAGTGACTGAACTGAACTGATAACAATAATTAATGTATACTCATAATTGAAATTCATATTAATACAAATTTTCTTTTGGTTTTATATTTACCTCCAAGTCATTGGCTTAAAGCATGTAAAATAAATATCTCGTTAATTAATCTGAATATCTAACAACTTGTTTTACTTCTGTTGCCCAGAAACCATTGCTTAAAATAGGGAAAGTAACATTTTCATATTAAGATGATCTTCACCTGAATTAACAAATGATCTGACCTTCAAAAGCCCGTTTGCAACGTGGGTTCAGATTCACTGTGAGCTAGCCAAATCAGCATTCAAATGGAACTGAGGGTTTATTGTTGGTCATTGAGGTTAGGCAGAGTCACTTCCTCCCTGTAATTCCTTCTACTTCGGCATGCACTCACCACTGGAAAGAGAATTCTATTCAAGGACAAATTTCAGGCCAATAATGAGGAGTTGCCTGCATGTTAATGAGGCTCACCATCTCCCATACTCAAAACTAACCATTTTTTTCTTAAAGATCTTCAGGACTTTCCATTATCTCTACATTAGTCGTTAATTTCCCTAGTGCCCATTTCATTTATTTCCTCTTATTTTGTCCCTGATGAACATGGAAGCAGATGGTAATTCTTCTTCTCTTTTCAATTTGTAACTCTTGCCAAGTCAATGAAAACTGCTGATAGAAAGAATAAGTTCAAAGAATGTGATTACCTGGAGGAGAGGCCGCTGCACCCCCAGCACTTTCATGGTATCTGCATTAGCCAGGATCTTCAGGGGGTCAGATGTTTTCGTGACTCCTTCAATCTCCTTGTTGATCTCAGCCAAGACCTGATTGAGGAAGATATTTTTGATGTACACGGTGAGAAACTCTCGAAGAGGACACTGTTTGGCAGGACCAAGTCCCAGGGCATGCTCTATCTCTTGAATAAATCTGGAAGACAAACAGAGCACAACCACTGTCAAACATATCAGAAAGATAGTTATAGAAATATGACCAAACATGGGTATCTCCGCTTGCTGCTATGGAGAGATCTGGGGAAATTACCAGAATTCTAAACAAGGGCAGGCCACTTTAATATCCACCTATATATGAGTATGTTGTTTAAACACAAGTTATTTCACTTATTGAAAAGAACAGGATGAAACAGAAACACAAATTTCAAACTAGTAGGGAGAAAGGAGAGACAAAAATATTTATTAATTCAAGAAGGAAATAAAAATATAAGAAGCAAAAGAAAGTGTGATAGACAAAAAATAAATTATGATGCAAAGTAAAGAGCAAAGCCCATACTGCATATTTCTTAAGCTCTATATATGTGTAGACAGAACTTTCAAAAAGAGAGAAAATAAAGGATATTGTTGTTCAGTCTGTAAGTCATGTCTGACTCTTTGTGACCCTATGGACTGCAGCATGCCAGGCTCCTCTTTCCTCTACTATATCTCAGAGGTTGCTCACATTCATGTCCCTTGAGTTGGTGATGCTATCGAACCATCTCACCCTTTGCCACCCCCTTCTCCCTTTGCTTTCAACCTTTCCCAGCATCAGGGTCTTTTCCAATAAGGATAGTCTTTAAATTTATGACACTAATGTGGGTTGAGAGGTTATGAAAGGAAATAGGATGGGGGTGCGGACAAAGGAGAAGTTTAACTTTATTTGTAATGATCAATTTCCTTTATGAAAAACACTTAAAACACTTATAGCAGAATGTTAACTGTCAAAACTCACAGATGCGTACGCAGATACTAGTTATGCTACTCTTTGTATTTTTCTACGCTGGCAGCTCCTGCTTTCATGGTTCTGATACGCACAAATGTAAGTTACTACAGTTTAGCGAATCACACCAGTACAACAACAGGATTTGAATCCCAGTTACCATAGTACATTAACTGTGAGTAGAGGCATGAAACAGCAATTCCAGTGCTTCAATCCAGAAATTTCTGTGTAAATTCATAATTTACATAAATTTCTATGCAAATTCATAATTTACATAAATTCATAATTATGTTCATCATAATCAATGACCTGTCCTATCACTTCTTTCTTTCAAAGTCAAATCAGTGAACGGTCACTTCACATCTGTTGCTCATTTCATAGAAAGACAGCAACGTGGGTAGCCGTTGTCTCCTCGTCTCTCAGTGATTAACCCCTGTGACAGTTTACAGAAATTGATAACTGAAAAAGGGAATTAGCTAAAAAAAAAGCTAAAGGAAAAAAAAATCTAAAAGTAATACTGGGAGCAAAATTTGCTTTGAACCTAAGTGGATTTACAGAAGAAATGGCAGATCCTGGGAACATGTGAGAGGAACATGCAGCCAGACGGAGGGTTAACTTCCTGACCTTAAAAGAGAAAAACAGTTGTGACGAAAGAGAGAAAGATGTCCCAGAGGAAGTGATGTTGACCAAAATATGTTACCTTAGAGAACTCTTGGAGGTATTTCATGACATTGAAAAGCAAAGAATAAAATTCTGGCAGCTGACCCAAACTGAGAGGGAAGTATGACATTTCACTAAAGCAGAGAAAAGATTTTTGCTGTGTATTGTAAATGACCCAACAAGAAGATGGTGGCAAGCACTGTTCAGACTCCTCTTGGTAAGACTTGTTTTTGTGGCCAGGTCATGTGACATATGGGATCTCTTAGTTCCCAGATCTAAGGGATCAAGTCAGTGCCCCCTGCAGTGGAAGTACAAAGTCTTAACCATTGGACCTCCAGGGAAGCCCATTCTTGGTAAGATTTTAACAAAGAAACAAAACTCTGATTCTCAATGTTTCTAATGTTACAGGGTACTAATACATATTAGTTTTATTTTTCATTTCGTATATATTTGTAACTGATTGTAAGAATTTTTAACGTTTTCACACCAAAAAATTTCAAGTCATGAAACAGTTGTGATTTTCCCCTATTGATTAATAATACTGCTTTGCCTGGTGAATTTTACAGATCTACAATGTTCTGTAAAGCAAGAAAGGCCTTGCACTTTAAATTTTTCCCAAAAGAATAGAAGTTAAATAAAATGAAACAGAATCTAATGAAATAGAGAAAAAAATTAGTGATTAGCTGGGAAGATCTATTTGCAACCTATGTCACAGACAACAGGCAGTAAAAAAACCAAGGAACATAGTAGAAAAATGATCAAAAGACATGAAAAGACATTTTACAGTGAGTGAACATTAAACAATAAGAAAAAGTTTTAACTTCATTCATAATGAGAGAAATGAAAGATAAACTACAACGAGATACCATTTTTTATACCCACGCATCAGCCAGATTCCAAAAGTTTGAAAACACACTGTTGGTTTAAGTGTGGGCAGAGAGACATTCTCATATATTATTGATGGGAGTGAAAAATGTTACAACCCTGATGAAGGACAAATTGGCACTATCATTCAAAATTACAAATGTATTTCCTTTTGACCCAGAAATCTCACTTCTGGGAAATTCTTCCAACAGCTATTATCTGAATATGGATGAGATGACCTATGCACAGGATACAGAGATCAGTGCAGAATTGTTTTTATATCAAAAGATTGGAAACAACACAAAAAATCCATCAGTTAGAGATCAGTTAAATAAACTATGGTGAATCTAGACACTGCAATACTGGGCAGAAACCTAGCTCCCAAACATGGAAGCTTTTGATGACCTTACATGCAAAGATCTCTAGGACGTATATTGTTAAGTGAGAAAAGCAAGGTGCATACCAATATGCACCTTTGTATAAGAATTATACATTTATTTGTTTTATTATAAGAATTACATATTTATTTGTTTTATTATAAAGACATCCTGGGAGGGTTCATAATAAAATTAGTAAATGTGAGTATTTATAGGAAGTAGCGATTGGGGGGAGAGTCTTGCAAAGGAGTGGGAATGCATTTTTCAATTATAATTTACATAATCATTTGACTTTAAAAAAACTGTGAATATATTAGCAACTCAAATAAAATTAAATTAGACAATATAAAAATTATCTACATTTATCAAAGACTCTATTTCATAAATGGCTTTCTAATGAGATCACATTTAAAGTTTGGGGTATAAATGTTCCATAAGTTCAGCTGTTTAACCTAATAAAGAGTTTCCTTTACTTAATAAACACATACATCATGGTTACTCTTCCATATCACCACTTAAACACTCCATTAACCTCCAGGCCCTCGGAGGGGAAGTGGGGGTAGGAAAGAGAACACAGAGGATTATTACAGTGGAAAAGTCACCCAGGAAAGTGGACACAGAGAAGCCATGACAAACAGCAATGAGGTTTCTTAATTGATGTTGTCAACAACTAAAGGGAAGTAAAAGCCTGACCCAAGGGACTTGCTTGGGGGTCCAGTGGCTAGGACTCTGGGCTCCCAATGCAGGGGACCTGGGTTCAATCCCTGAGTAGGGAACTAGATTCCATATGCCTCAACTAAAGATCCTGCATGTTGCAACTAAGACCTGGTGCAGCCAAATAAAAATAAATACATATTTTTAAAGCCTGACCCAAAACAAGATACAAGAAATCTTTAAGAAGAGATTGAGTAGAAGGTTGGGTGGGGGGGAGGGCACAGAAATGAAGAAATAAACAGCAGATAGTTAACTATGGTTATAGTTTTAAGATCTCCAGATCCCACATCATGCTACAGTGATCCCCTCTGATCTCATCTAACTCACAGAGAAACCCTCCACCCAGTGGCATCCCGGTTCCCTTGGTCTGACTCTGAAAGGCAACCACTGTTACTAATCTGATAACAAATAAATACACCTGTCATCAGAATCCCTATTTACTCCTTCCCATGGGTCTTAGAAGAAGAGTTTTCTGAGCAGAAGTACTTCTTGCAATTTCAAAATCTACCAATTATTTGAAGGAGATTTTTAGTAGTTAATCTGCTCCTAAACAAAGTGACAGAAGGCTCTAAATTACCCCATTTTTCTTCTTTTCTAGTCCCTTATTTGCCTTTGGTGCCCCTCGAATATGAAACCACTCTGAGCAGCACGGATGGAGCAGCTTCCATCACCTTCAGCCAAATTATTTTTTCCGAATACAAGTCATTTATTCCCGAAAGCATACACATCTGTCTAAAATGACACAGTCAGGTTGATGGTGTCATCTCTGACTCGAGGGGACCCATTCAACATGTTTCCAAATCTGCTTCTGGAGCTGGGAGGGTCCCACTGTGCAGAAGGCATAAGACATGAGGAGAAAACGAAAGAGAAAAATTAGGGCTGTCTCACCAGCCTCTCTCCACTCTGGTCAAGAATGAGAAGCAATCACATTAAATGGGCAAAACGCCCTTTCTTAGGCAGAAAGGACACAGAGGAAGATTGTTCCTAGGCATCTAAGAGGTGAATTGAACTCATAGTCTGTGCAGAGAGGAAAGGTTTAGGGAAATGGAATGGCCAAGGGTGGAACACAGAAAGTAGGGATTCCTGAGTCAGAATCTTGAATGTACTATCTAGGGCAGGTTACTTAGCTTCTCTTCATCCTATTTGTGTACTCTGTAAATGGATATAACATACAGGATTTGTTTTGACGATTAAGTAAGGAAATAAAATGCAAGTGCTCATCACAGAGGCTGACATACAGTTAACTGCTAAGTAGGTGGTGGCTGCTGCTATTTGTATAATTGCTATCAGTGCATAAATCCTGATGGGGTTGGAGAGTTAGAGCAAAGTGTGACATATTTTACCATTTTTTTTTTCACTCTCTCCTTTACTTCCCCATGCAATTATCCATAATTGGCAATTTGGGCCATTAGATTATTACTTGGACTATTTCATCAATGCACGTATGTAGGAATGACCGAAACCCCATGTGGCCAGGGGTCAGGTGTAAATTTCTCACTGCTGTATCTTCAGGGCTTAGGATTAGTCTACTGCTGGCACAGAGTAGGTCTCAGGAAATATTTGCTGAATCAAGTATTGAATAAAGTAATTAATAGGTCCTTT